ATCGTGTTATTCACTCTGCATTCTGTTTTAACTTAATGCAATCAAAAATAATACGAAGAAGCAAACATATTAAAAATCTACGAATTTTATTTACATTGAAAAGCAATACAAATTTTAATGATACCAAGCTCAAAAATTGAAAGGTGTTCGAATCAAATGAACCAATTTATTTCCTTCGGCAGAGTCCAATTTTTGGGACTGCGCTAGAAATGAGAGTGCACTTGTTGTATCTCCCAGGGATCGCTTGCAGCATTGCAGAGGCCGTGCAATTAAGGCTCTTATTGAGCATTAGTGAAGCCCGAAAACTTTCAATGGCAGCCGAATTTCCGACTCGAATTGCTTGATTGGAGCAGCGACGCTGCGGAGACGCCTGCCCCTAGGCTTCATCATTGCGCCAATGATGGACTGGAGTGGAGTGGAGAGGTGGAGTGGTATGGTGGAGTTGAGAGGGTGCGGTGAATTGTGATCGAAATGAAAGTTGAGAGGACGAAAGGAATGATAAAGTAAATGGGTGGTCGAGTTGAGAGGTAATGTAGAATGGTTAAATAAATAAGTGGTTCAGCGGGCGGCTGAAATTGTGAAGCAAATAAGTTGGGGAGTTGAAAAGCGTGTAGAATTGTGAATCCCTCGTAAATGGGTTGGGGAGCTGAAACGGTCCTTAAAAATGTTGATGTAAATTAACGGTGAAAAATATCCTTAGGTGAGGAAGTACAAGAGTTAGTTAAAAATAAACTGGTACAGTGTATGTAATGTGTAATTGGTGCAGCAAAATTATCAGAAGCCTGTGCTGTACATGAGTAATGGGTTTGACTAGTAGATTGGAACGGCGAAGTAAAACATGGTGGTGCAGAGAGGTGAAGTTGAAGAATCTTAGTGCATATGTGTATACGTATGCAGATGATAATGCGCCGTGGATTAGTAGTGTGATAGAGAGTATAACACAGATTTTCCTAATATTGGTATTATTGTTATTATATTTATTATCATTATACTTCCTCCTGTTCTTCTTCTTCTTATTGTTTATTATTATTATTATTATTATTATTATATAATTATTCCTTTATCCTTTTACTATTATTATCGTCCCTCAGTTCATCCTACCTAATCACAAACCGAACTGAACCTAATCCGATTACAACCAGCAACATCGCATGCTTTTGCAACGTTCTTTTTCATTAGAAACAAAATATTCCTGCGCAAATTGTAACGAGCTTTAACGATACCAAATACCGAGCCTTTACATCGTGCTAGAGAGCATCAACAGCATTAAAAGAACTCGACGCAATCGAGTTTGTGATGTGAAGAATATAAACATTTATTCCCTCGCTAACGCTTCGTTAACAGCAAACTATAAGTAACTAGACTCCACGCAGGTCGAATAAACCGACAGATTTTTTAAACGCGGTCGTTTGTAACGCTACAATCATTTCTGATTCAGGATAATATAGCATTTGTAAATACGGGATAAATTGTCCATGCCGGCCGTAAATGGTTTAGCATTTGCTCACAGAAATAACACAGGATTCAGAATAGCGAAAATATTTTCAGCACTTAATCCCTATGATATTCATGTTCGGCTCTAATTGGTTTCGGTCTCGGCAGGTTTTTTGCGATTGCGATGCAGTTTACGAATCCATGTTAATGAACGAGTCAGAACAAAGCGCCATACCATGAGTTCCAAAGGCATTCTATCGGCTGTAATGAAACGTATCGTGTGTTATAAATGACTTGCGAGTGTCGTATTGCGAGCGTAAATTAAAAATTTGCATTTGCATTCGCCCGAATTCGATAATATAATTGACGGTGGTACAAGCAGTTAAATATAAAATTAACAGTTGTGTACATCCTAATTCGATAATATATTCGATGGTGCCTCTTTAAGTTATATATAAAATTTACATTTACATTCATAAGAATTCGATGATATAATTAATGATGCCTTAATAATGCGGTTTTAGGCCTGCAAATGCTGCATCAATCAGGCAAATTTAAAATTTTTATTTAGAAAAAAGTGAAGTAAAATCTAAATTTTCTCTTCAACACGGCGCAAAAATCAGTTTTGCGCGCATTTTTATCCATCTTTCACGTCAAAAAAGTTGTGCAAGTTCACAGTCCTTAAATCTTAATTGCGATTTAAATTTAACTAATGCATAATGGTAAGCAGAAAAAAGTTCTAAGGTAAATTTCAAGTAAAGAAATTTAATGCACCTAGCTTAGGTGATGACTGCATAAAAACCTAATTTCATGAACGGCGACATATTTGACAAAAAAATATTAATTTTTAAAACTGTTTCAGAGCCGGAGTTTTCCTCTTAAATATATTTTATGTTGGGCACTCCTGCAACTTCGCATGAAACTGATGTATCTTTTGTTCCATGCGTTTGCTCTGATTGACGTACTTACAAATAATAGCCCAATGCTCGTATTATATTTACATGCTTAACGTTCCATTTCTCATTCAATGTTCCTCATACTTATTAAATGTGTTGATGTCCATTGCCGCCTAAATATTTCATATTTTAGCTGTTTTAAGCATGCGATTAATAAAACACCTTCATCCGCCACTTATCCAATTATTTGAGAAAAGATATCTAATATTGAATTTTCCTAAATAAAGAATTACTAGTTACCTAAGTTATTGTTCATATCATTCATTCACCCCCAACTGCAACAAAATTAATATCATTACAGTTCACTAATCGGAAGACTGATTGCTAGTTTTACATCATATTGGCCACGGACTTCCATCGCCATAAGTGCTATATTAAATTACTGCCAGAGAGTCGCGAGCAATTAACAGGACACTGTAAATTCCACCCACTGCTCATGACTTGGAGTTTGTTGAAGTGGTGCTGAAAATGCTCAGTTGACTTTATAAACATGAAACTACGTGTTGATTGATTTAAAGTGCAATTACGAAAAGGAAGTGACCCTCAACACTGCAACACCGGGCGCTTGCTTTACAATATAATGTACTATATCTAATATTATTCTGATTTTACATACTATGTTGATGAAAATTTTACCTGTATTGCAATCAAAAGTCACGCCAAATGAATTTAAAGCAAGTAAAAATAAACTGCCAAGTGAAAGTGATTACTTTTGAAAAGTCATCAAATTGTTTAAATGAAAGGTATGATAATCCTCACTGACTTCGTTGAGATGCAGTGCATAAATTAAAATGGCTTGGGATTTAGAATAATTGAGAAAAATATACGAGATTACGAGATATACCTCGTAGATTATAAATTGCGATCAACATTTATGCTTCAGAAAGAATGTAGTGAGCTGAAATTTAATTTAAAAGTACAATACGGAATATTTTAGTAATTAGGTTTTGAGTTTTATAACTGAACCACTAACGTCTTACATTCTTTTGTTAATCGACGCTCAGCAAAATAACTTTATTAGGACATAAAAAGATGATAAAGATAAAAGTTCCACAGCAATGAATTATGCAAAATTTTGAAACAGAATTTTTTATATTCATGCACCTAGGATCATCTAAATAAAAAAGTGGAAAGATTTTAAGTCACATCTTTTCAGCTCGTAAAATACAGAATTTGAGAAATTAATTAATTTATAATAAGACTTGTTGTGAATTGACTCCGTGCACTTGCACCAAACAAAACTGCATGAACTAATGAGCGGTGTTCAAAAGTTTAAAGTATATTGCGTGAGAATATAGATCGATGTCATCGCAAGTCATTTCAGAAATGAGTTTGAAAGTAAAAGTTCAATTGTTCTCTTGATATTTTTCTCCTGATAATGTTTCATGGCGCCCATATTATTACAATTTATTCTGGATCTTCTGCATTGTTCAATGGTGAAATTTTTATTATTTGTATAATTATCATTATATTAATAACAATTATAATTTGATATTACAATTTTTTAGTGTCCGATGAATATTTGTAATCTTCATAAGAAACTCACTTGAATATTTAATGTTTCCTGATGTGGAACCCAATTATTTTTCATTGTAACACTAATTTTTGGAAATAATTTCCATTTCTAACATGATTTAGCTTATTACCGTGATTTAGCTTATTATATATTTTGTTTTATTTGAACAAAAAACATCTAGTTGGAAAATTACAGTGAAACAATTACATGCTCCTACAGAACTCCCTTTTAGAAGCACACATAGAACTGAACGCAAGATAATTTTCAACTCAACTGAAATTGCGCTTTCCCAACTTATATTCATTTGATTTGATGACTTTTTGGTGACGAGGACATTAAAAACGAAGCTAGAACTAAGGAAAGAAAAACGCACGAAAGATGTTTAATTCTAATTTATTGTCAATATTCGAATAGAATTTCATCATGAAATTTTTCCACGTTTGCAGGATAAAATATTTACACATTGTATGGATATAATTAACACTTATTGTTCGTTTGTTAGATTCTAGGTTTTAAACAGAACTCAAATCGAGGCGGGAAGGAAAGAAAAATGATCGGCAATGAACTTTAATTATCGCTACAATAAAAACAACTACTTTCTTGACCAATAAATTCTACTAGCATGCCGATTTCTATCTATTAAACAGCTCCGAGGATATAATTTTCGCCTTTAACCGAGTCTATCCTATTCTCTAGCTTTTTCATTATTTAAAATATAGACGCGCTAGTTTGAAACGAGTTCCAAAGTATCAACGATTGTCAAGAATATTAACATTTAAAATGATTATTTTTTTGGCATTATGTTCAACGAATAATGACTCATCCTGGATTTTAGATAAATAAGTAAATATCGAAATTAAATCTTAAAACTCAAGCCGATGACCTTTAAAACAGTAAAATGAATTATTATAGACGAGTTGAAGGACGGAAATGTTTCTTTAGGTCAAAAAGTATGTATGTAAGTGGACCCAAGTCGATAGGCACATAAATCAAAAATAAATATAAATCTTATATTTTTGAATTAATTCTGAGATCGGAAAGAAATTTTGAAATTAGTGGGATGGAGTAATTTTTCTTAATTCAGTACCTTAGTATAATTCCGCACCTTAGTAACACCCTGAGAAAACTTTGATGATATCTTGACCTCGTCTACCAAATTTCCATATGAAACATACTCGTATATTCGTTTTCACTTGAGATGTCAGCTATTAATATGCAAGAACTTTCACTACAAAATATCGTTCTGCGCGCAACACATGGATTTTTTTTTCTTTCATGCACATCATGAACAAGTTTGGCATCCTAGCACGGCTAAATCCTAATATCAGATCCCCAAAAAAACTAAAGAAGCAATTTACATTCAGTTTATACCTACGAGCTCACCGTGACATTCATCACTTTTGGAAATTGAATAAAAAAAAACAAAAAATTATTCCTAACTAACACCAATATCAGGTTCTAAAGTTGATGGAAAATTGACCTAAAGCAAACGAGATGAACGCAGCTTGTTGAAATAATTATTGTTTAGGTTTTTAGATTTTCAATGTGAATTTGGAAACGACGAAGTATCCACGACGAATTTGTACACACGATAATTCTTTCATTAAACAACATTCTACAACGGGTACTACTTGTACGGGTATTTCCTACCCTGAAATGACTACCTGAGCGGAACTAACACTATTTACTTTAGTGTCCTCATATCTATCCTTAGCATCAATATTGTAGGAGAAAAGCAGGAAAGAAACCTAAATCAAAACTCAAAACAATAACTAGAAAGCTCAGGACTTTTTGAATCAAACACCGATTCATACATGTGTGAGAATGTGAGTCATTGTCTGCATATTCATAAATCTCAATGTGTGTTCGTCAAAGGAAGACTCTTAAAGCAAGACGTTTTTTCATGCCCAAACGGCGCTTTTCTGGAGTTTCTTAGAAGAAGTCGATGAAGAAATTAGGTTCAGCATTGAATCATCTGTCGTAACACGGATTATCGTAATTTCCAGCAAAATGTTCTTCATCTTGATCTTGCCGCATTTCGTGACAGCATCCATGCATGTGCACTTCTGACACCGACGATCTTTTATGCTGTTCGTGATGATGCATTTGATGATGTTGTGCAGTTTCCAAGGGACGAGTCATGCTCTCGATGATAAATTCATCATCCTCATCATCGTCCATTTCTTCTTCTTCCTCGTGATAATCGTCTTCTCCCTCGAGCACCCCACGGTCCTCAAATTCATCCTCGTCCTCCTCTTGAACTTCCTCAAGCAATTGAATTTTAGACGAAGACGGAGTAATGAAAACTTTACGATCGCAGCATCTTTCCGCCGAGTGCTGCCCGAACCTTGGGGCGTCACAGGACATTGAATCTGTAGGAGCTGCTCCGCCAAGCGACGAATCTTCAAATGGAGTCAGTCTGTATTTTTCAGGGTTCAGCTCCTGTGTGAACTTGTGAGAGTAAATAACGTTTGGCTTCCTTATGGGGAATTCTGATCGGTCTAAGCAGTCGGTTTTAACTTCATGTAGTTCCTTGTCGTCGTGGTTGCAAATGCTGATGACGGTAAGAACGAATACTGAAAGTAGAATAAACGCACATACGCAGCCTACTGCTATGTACACAATCAATTCCATGTCTTCGCCATTGCTGGACCCCTTCAATCTACCGAGTAGCATTTTAGAGTCTTGAGTTAGAACCTTTTCCAAGTAAAAGATTTCCCCGGAGATTTCAAGGAGAGTCGTGTTGGCTTCAGCCAGAGCCTGTAGCTGAGTGAGGGCTTTAGAGTACAACCTCGTCTCCAAACTAATATTGACCATGAAGGTATTGTCACAGAATACGGACATTATAACTATATCATCAAACTTAGTTTCCAGCTTTGAGGCTAGTGCTGCTTTCAAAAACTTAACAAAAGTGTTCATTCTCTTACTGATGATGCCGCAGTCCCCGTCCATTACGAGAATAAGCCACTTGGTGCTCTTTTCTGCCGGGACTTTGCTGTGAGCAATTTGTGGACGTCCTGGCAGAGGAATGTTGTGACTCAGAAGAACCGACGGCTTTTTTCCAATCTCTTCAGCACTGGAAGAAGCTCGTTGATTGTGCATGAGGCCGCTCAGCACGATATCGTTGGGCAAGAACCCGATGTCTGACGTTGCGTAGAGAGGCTCGGGAAGCTCTGCCAACATTTCTCTTGGATATTTTTTTGTTAATTCGATGTCTTTGATGTGCGCGCTGCTCGGTGCAAGCTGCCCGCCAACAAACATCGTATTCGGTAACCCTGGAGTGAACGATTGTAAATTTATTTCATTATTGTTACCCTCAGTAATTTTCTCTCGGGTATTAAATTGTGGGTAGAGGCTGCTCTCAAATTCCTTGTAATCTGCGGAATTTTCGTCACTGTTAATTAGTTCCTCAGTGAACTGCCGTTCAACATTGTTGGCGAAATAAGGTTCAATTTTAATCGTGGAGGCAATCTTTTCTGTGCTCCGATTTTCTGTTGGCAGAGAAGCTTTACTGGAAAGTTCATTGCCGGTTTGATTGTTATCAACGGCAGAAATATTTTTGTCGGAAATATTGTCCATGGGTACTTGGTGATGTTGAAGAATGGAGATCGCAAGTAATAAATCTTGTGAATTTCGCTTCTTAGCTAATTCCTCTTCAAGTAAATCAAGATTCAAATGACTTACTGATGAAACATTTGAGGTCACTTTGGAGCGGTCTTCCGTCGTTGTAGTTTCGTTAAAGTTCGTTTGCGACAATTGGTTTTGTTTTGTCGAATCAGTTTTGTGAGCCAATGATTTTGTGGTTACTGTGCCATTTACAGTTTTGGATTCGATAAAAGTTCTGTTTCCTTGTCTCATTTCCAAGCTATTTTCACCTAAAATTTTCAGAGTAGAATTTAATTCCTTACTTAAAGGAACTGGCTTATCGTCCACATCAATTTTCATTTCCTTCAACTCATCGTCAGTTGTTAAATCATATTCAAGAGTGTTTTCATTGTCGATCCGATCATCATTTCTTCTAATGGTAGAATTGTTCACCTCGCTTCCAGACGTAGTTTTTTTAGGGAAAGTGAATCTTCTCCCTCTGCCGAGATTCCTTTGATCTCTGTCACCTCTAAGTGAGATGGCCATGAGGTACTCAGCCGTGATACCATAGGGTCGCAACTTTGCTGAGGCAGAAGCCTTCTTGCGAGTTTCATTGCCACGTGCCAAAACGTCATTTTGGATCTTCAGAATGTCACGTCTAGATTCATTTGTATTATTGTCTTCAAACGTTGCCAATCGGTCAGCATTTTTTTCCAGGAATTGAACAGAATTCGCTGCAATGATTCTATCCGCTATAATATCATCCAGGTTCGAGGTACTGCTATTATCAGCTGCCTGCAAATCCTTTCCGTAAGTCTGCAGAGAGTGGATGTCTGACGAAAGAAATTTTGGAAGCGTCTGTGTCGTTTCGTTTCCTCCTATTACGCCAGAATGAGTCTCTGATTTCGAGACTTGTACTTCAGTCTTCGAAATTTCTGCAGTCGAGTCAGATGAACCATCAGGCGCATTGATTCTAGTAGCCAGGTTGGAACTGGATTTTCGCGAAGAAATATTGGAGTGTATTTCGTCTCTGGAGCCAATTCCGGGCCGAGGTAAATCTCGCATCATTGCGGAATATTTCTCCGCAGGGGATGAGCTTGCAATCATATCAGTGGCCCCTGATGACCAGCCTGCAAAAAAACAAAGGCACAAATAAGCTCATACTCGGAAATTTTGTGGAAAAACAAACACGGCGTTTCTGCCTAACGCTTACATGCATGAAATTCATACGAAATATGACTTGATTTTTTAAGTCCTTCCGCTTGAAAAAAAATTGTGAAATTTTATAAAGCGCGAATTCACCTTTATAGAGAAAATTTGCAATTTATTTTAGGTTTTTTGTATTATTATAAAAAATTTAAAATTGAATTTCTTGACTGGGGTATCTTAATAAGAAATATCGTAAGGAATTAAGGTATTAATGTTGCAACGGATCGATCCGAATGAGCTAAATATATTCATTAATGAAGCAATATAAACAATTCCTTATCCCTTACGAAAAATTAATTGTATATCAGTTTTCATCAAACGATTTGTTATATATCCTTCAAACAAAAAAAAACAAAAGACCCGATTTCAGTCATGAAAACATCTTTGAATAGCAATAACAGAGAATAGTATGAATAACAGAAAAAAGTGACCTCGTTATCATTCCTACGTCAGACGTCTCATCTTGTTCAGAAATTATGCTGGTGCTACACTTTCCTCCTCAAATTTTCTGTGGCCAGAGGAATTTTATGCGGCACCTGGAGCTGAACTTTTTACATTTTGAGAATTTCATCGCAGCTGCTTTTTGCGGACGAACAATTTGCCTCAGGTGCCGCTGAGGCTACTGTCTGGATTGCAAAAATTTTCTAAAGTTAACGTCGATGTCAGGTATCGATCTCGCGCGCTGGCAATCACCGGGCTCAAGGCTCCGCTAAAACTGCCAATGAATACCAAATAAATTGTCGTTTCGACGTAGCAGAAACGTGAAGTATTTTTATCTGGTGCACAAAAAAAATTAGGAATTAGATTTTTGCTGGAAGGTGAGAGGTTGATGTTTAGAAGAAGACTTTAAAAACGCTTTAGAAGATTCGTCAACGTTTAAGTAATAATTTTTTAGTAAAATCATTTTCACCCTCGGCCAAAAAATGAGAATGCGAAATGAATTTCATTGCTTCGACAGCACAGGGGTAAATTTTTTTCCAAATTCGTTTTTATAACTCACCTGAAAGTAAAACTCCCAGCACCATCAGCACCAGCGTTGATTGCATTTTTGCGAGAACAAGTTTCTTTTGTTCTGAAAAGTCGTTTCGGTGGAGGACCTGAAGATTGAAATAGCCTGCACTCTTTCACTTATCGCGAGTATTGAATTATAAGTTCAGTATATTCTAAAAGCCCAACAAATCTATTAATTTCAAAGTTCCTCGACAATTTCCACTGCTTTTTAACGAGTTTAAAGTCTCACCGTTATTCCGTTTATATTCGAGTTAAATAAATGAAACTCAAATTAAATTTATACTCGAATTAAGTAAATGAAGTCTTTGTGGCCTTAAATGTCACGCTGATGAAATACGTTATGATATAAACTCTAATTGCAATTTATTTACGAGGCTGAAAATGCAGACATCCAGATGAGAAAGCGTCATTTTAATAAACCTCATTCATTATTAGGAAAGCCCAGTGTCCATATTTCCCAGATTCGCAGGACGGCGGTTAACGTTATCCTATAATATCCTTCGGCAAATGTTGACTGTACGGAAGCTGAGCCCCACTTGAGCCCAAACCAAAACAACCTGCAATGGTTTCAAACTGATGGCAGCGCAAGGAGTTGCCGTATTTCGAGCACCAAACTGCGTTTACTCTTAATCAGTTCCGTGATTGATTAATGCGAAGTCTGGGTGCCGGCTGCTCCTAGGTTTTTAATCAACGGATTTGATACGCAGTTTGGGACTGTAACACTACTGGGATCATTTTGAGTTAGATAATTTAAGGTTGAAATTTTCAGGGGCTCATGCACGTAGGTTTCATGGACATGGAATGATTCTGCACAGTCTTATTCAGGCTAGTTCATTCTCTATACATCAGTTTCAGAAGTATCAATGTTATGTTCATCGGCAATGCACAGGAATTGTAGTTCCTAAAATTTTATGTATTTTTCTGTCCTACGGAAGAAGCAGTGTGAATTTAGGAAATATTTAATTTTTTAAATAACTAATCCAGCAGCTACTATAAATGGAAATTTTATTTTATTCTAAATAAATGAACAACAATATTTTTTGATGTTTCCAAATTCTTTCATTGACAAACATTTAGAAAAATCCAAAATGCGAAGAATTTTTATTTCGACGATGCCCACCACAGGCGATGCCAAGCAGACTACGATTTCATATACTTCCAGGAGATGAATCAGATGCTGACGATCCTTCTTGTGGTATCAAACTTTTCCTCGAATAATATTCTCTCTTTAACGCTACATGACACCGATAATTGCACAAGTGATCTGGAAAGAAATAGGTACAGACATTGTGTGATGAATTCACATTAACATTGAAGAAGGTTATAATGCAACTTATATATACCATAATAAGGAATTAAAACATTCAAAATCTCTTAATATCAATCAAGATGCTTATATCTAATGGATTTCGAGTTTTCATTGCCAACGAGCGATAAAAAGCAACATCTTAGCCCAACATTTTTATTAATTCTTTAAGTCTGCGATTCCTCGATTCTCGAAAAAAAAACTACATGAAGGTAAATGCAAAAAAAAGGCAAGTAGGGTGCCCATATTGCACAACCTACCAACTAATTTGAATCCTAGAAATTAAACTAATTTCTATCAACTCCAATTTCCAGTACTAATTTATTGCATGAGAAGCAGGTAGGTTCTTGTGGTGGATTTAAAAGGAAGTAGCTTAAGACCGAGTCGGGAACTTTTGAAAAAAAGTTTTTTTATTCAATAGAAGAAGAATGTTTTTCTCAGTTATTGTGAGGAGTTCCTGGATATTGTGGTCTACGTAAAACATCTTAACTTTGACAAGGAAGCTCCCGGTTCATCAATTAAGCTTCTAAAAGTTACTCTAATCCTGAATTCATCAAGAAGTTTTCTTCTCCTGTAACTATAGGCTTCCTTTCATCGATGTTAGTCAGCTTAGTTCCTCAGGAAAAGCTTCTTTCAGGCGCATGTCTCTAATGCGTTTAGAGGACCTAAGAATGCCTCTAAAAGGAAAGAAAAATGTAGTTCTGATATATGAAGAATAAAAAAATGAACGCATTGTGAAAACAATGTCTTTTGTATCATTTAATTCTTTTGAAGTAATTAGTAAATGCACAGAAAAACGTCCTTGCGATATATTTTTCAAGGTCATGGTAAAAAAATTATTTTAGTCAAGAATGAGTATTATTTGGTTACATTTGTTCTATTTTTAGAATATTTATAGGAATCTTAATTTCACAAAAGCGAAGGAAATTTAATTTGTCAGTTTCCCGAAATTTCGATTATCAACTAGACTCAAGTAGAATACGAACGACCCAATGTAAAATATTTTAAATATTCATTTGTTGTTACCTAGCAAGTGTAAAATTTTTTTATGCTATCGTTATCATCATTTTATTTGAAACAATGACGTCTTGAGACAAGCTTTTAACATAGCAAAATATTGTAAAAACAATCCTTTCACGCAAAATACAATATTGATTCTGAAAATATCCAAAAAATGTGTTTTATTTGTAAAGTCAACAATAGCCAACGGCGGTGGTCTTTGTTTCAGGACCTATGAAACGTTTTTTTTAATCGCAAAATATTGTAAAAACGATCGTAACTCATACAAAGCAATATTGCACAGAAAATATTCGCATTATTTGTATCTTCAACAATAGAAGGAGATGGTCTTTCCATCAAGACGCAATATTGCGAGGTGAGACTGTGCCTTGACTTGCCCTAACACAATTAGTGAGTCTGGCGCTGCAGTCGTGCAGTCGCTCGTAAACTGAATACCTAGGCGCTGCCTAAAGTGATCACTGACACCTATGCCTATTTATGTGCCCAGAATACAATTATTCTTGGAGTTCAATTTAATATATAGAACTCACAGAAACAGTTGCTTATTTAATTGCCCAGAATACAAGTATTCTTGGAGTTCGTTCAATATTTAGAACTCACAGAAACATTGTCATATATTTAATTGCACAGAATACAATTATTATTGGAGTTTGACTTAAAATTTATAGCTAATACAAGCATATATATGCCTATTTAAGGGCCCTGAATACAATATTCTTAATTGGAGTTCGATTTAATATTTAAAGCTCACAGAATCATAGGTATATTTAAGTGCCGACTATAGTTCTTTTTTTAGTTTTATTACGTCATTCAGAGAACTGGTTACTGGTCATATAACATTTAGTCAAAAAAGAGTCTTTCAACAAAGAAACTGTTTTTATAGACATCAATTATTTTTCCATCATCACATCATGACTGATCAACTATTAGTGATTTTTAATATTTGTTAACTTATCGTCATTTTATCAATCAATCATTTATGATTTCAGAACCGAAACATGAAACTGGGGTCCACATACTTTTTGATGCCAGATAATAATTTTATAAGAAATTAGGGATAAAACTTTCTGTTTTCTTTGCATTTCTTACGACCATTTCAAGGCTTCTTTTACGTTGACGTTGGAGCTCGAAATAATTTATTCCAACAAGAAATTTTTACATTGGAGTGTTTTTAGGGTTTTTAGCTGATCAACCATTTTTCTAATATAAATCAAGTCTTAATCTATGATGATATAAACTCTTACATCTATTTTATTTGCAGACTTTGTAATCATATCTTCCAACAGACAATTCTTTGATATAAATAAAGCTAACCCTCTTTTTACAACCTTTGACAATAATTTCCCCGAGAATTATATTGTTATCTCAGAACTTTTATTTATACTACTCACTTTTATATATACTACTCTTCTCAAACTTTTTTTGTTGAAAACTCAACTGGCGTGTGTCTCATTAAGGACCAAAATGCCCTTATAAATGAGAAATTTCACCTATAGGTCAATCTAATATGACCAATGCGCCTGTATTTCTGTTAAATTGTTAAACTTGTAGGATTTGCAAGAAAAATGCTTATGCTTCTATAGAATTGCTCCTCCAGTAAACTTTTAAATGACCTAATGCCGTATTTTAAGAAATTCTGCAGCTCGTTAAATTTTAGGTAAGAAAATCATCTAAATTTTAGTAAACTCTCCAGCCTATTGAATTTTACGGAACAAAAACTTCAGAATTCTTATCAAATTCTTGAGTTTTTAATTCAATAGCAAAAAACTACTTCAATTATTTGCAAAGGTAGCGTCAAAAAATCGCAGAGCTCTTTTAACTAAATGACGCTCATGCCTCCAAGGGAGGGATGACCGTCATTTAGTACATCTATATCATCATTTAGTACATCATTCACGGCATGAATCCAGCATCGTTTCAGCTTCATGCTCGGTTCCGAAACCTGAAACTCGTCGTTATCACGAGCTCTTTTACAAAAGGGATTAATTGTATTACTTAAATACACAGTGAGTGAATTGGAAATACTTGTTTAAATTATTATTGATATGGATATTTTCGCTAGATCAAAGATTGAAGCGATATTTGGATATTTTGGATATTTGATTCGGATATTTTCAAATATTGATGCCTGATAGGCACAAAAGCTTATAAACACGTCATTAGTCAAGCTTTGTCAAATGGTTGGGTATTTTTAGTAAATTATTTTGGCCACCAATATGAACGAATAAAATTATTCCGTGATAATAACGCCTATGTATAAAAATACAGAGTAACCCTAGTTTTATGAATTTAATTCGAATGAAAAATGTAATATAATATGAAAACAAATAAATCGTGAATTACCTAGCTAATAATATCACGGACTTTTATGGAAGAAACCAAGTAAAATATATGAATTGTAAATGAATATAATTCAAGTAATGGGTTAAAAAGGAAAAAGTTTTATATTCAGTTTAGTTATGCATACTCGGCAATTGACTCATTTCTCGGAACGGACACTTATTTGGCATTTAAATTTGACTCACTTTCCCTCAGTATTGCGGCTATTTTAAAATCTATTCTGTTTTATATTGAATGACAAATCGTTATGTCGGCCCATCATTGAGAGATAAAATTCAGTATCCCATCATAATGCAACGTCGCGCATCTCCAGGCCACAAAAACTCAATCAATATAAAATTTATAACGAAATTCCACCTCTATTTAGTTGTCTTTTAAATACACATGCTATTCAATGTAATGAAACTCCTTTAATGAAATTTGACAAAATTACGATTAAAAAATCTATCACTAATAAATTAGTACACAGTCTACCAGTGATTTCTATCAATAAATGTCTCAAAATTTGAGGATGAATTCTAGTTGACCTTTAATAGTTCGGTCCATTTTCACGAAGTATGATATGTAATATCCTTCCAAAATTCGAGGAGGTCTTACCGAGGACCGCTTAAGTTTTGGCCTTGAATTCAATACCGTCTTTAGGAAAGTAACTTATTCTACTAGTCTTCACAGCACTAGATCGTATAGGCAGTATACAGATGGCACAGCTGCAGTAATAGAGGAGCTAAAGATCCACACTCCTTCTTCTGCTGGTGCTTGAGAGCAACTAAAGCGTCGCAGACTCAGCAATGGATCCCAGTCGGCACCGGGAGAAATCTTTGAGCTCCGGCACATACGTGGCAGACTCCGTGTACAAGAATCCAGTACGAATGTACTAGGCTGGATTTCTGAAATGAAAATGATATATAACTGAGACGTAATGAGGTCGTATGAACGCAAACATGAATATATTCCCTTAATAATTTTTTCAATGCATTCTCAAAATTTTAACTGGTTTTCTTGTTGAACTTTTCTTTCTATGTGTCTACGATGAAGGCGAAAATGACTAGGCCTCGATATTTACTGTGTTATTGAATGACAGCCTAAAAACAGCATCATCTTTCCCTCTCTAAATATTGAGATCAACAGTGACAAACGATCATCTTCTATTGCATGAAAGTTTATAAATTACTTATTAAATGGTCTGTCATATGTTTATTAGCCAATGACACAATGGACACATGAAACTACATAGCAAGGTTTTCATCGCAAGGTTTTTAAATATTGCGGGCTAAACCCGCAGACTTTTCACTTATCCTATAATTAACACAATATCTTAT